AATGCAGCAAGCTAAATTAGATTGCTACACTGCAAAACGTTTCATTACAGAACAAAACCAGAGCTGAGCTACAGTTGCAAAACTTACTAAATCTGGAAAAGAAAGATGATAGTGAACAAAAGAGTGAAACGTGAAGTGAGCGGAAAAATCAAGAATTTCCAAGCTGATTTGTTTTAAGAATTAATATTCAGAATCTGTGTATCTTCTAAAGACACACATTTCCAAGTCTTTTAAGACTCACTGTAATAAATCCACCAATGTTTCTGACTTGAACAAAAGACACAGCACAATATAGGTTTGAACTGTTTATTTTACATCAGATGTTCCATACCGGAGTTTCTTCACTTAGAAGTTCCTAGAAGAAAATGAAACAAACACTGTTACAAACTAGTTTGCTTCAGCAGCTCAAATAAATATTTTTGACCAAGTGTGTAATCACCGCATAAATACGGCGTATACACTTTAATCCTAAAAGCTGGATTTGGGAATGGAAGTTACACTGCAAGAGTTAGAGGGTAAGATAAACATACATACTTGGAAACAATTCCATCATTTTTTGCCAGACGCAGAATAGAGTCATCTGATTCACCCTTTAAAAAAAAAAAAAAATAAAATTTTGAAGTGACCAAATAATTTCTGATACACATTAAAAAGGAAAGCAGCTGCTGTATTTAATGCTGGTAGTGAAATGCACAACGCCTTCCACAGATCACTACGTTTTACAGGCAAAGATTAGGGTTTTCAAAACAAGCTATTAAATTCTTTGTCACACGTTCGCATAAGAAATAGTTTTAACTTGGTAAAATATACACTTGCATTAACAAGATATATTTCTGGGTAAGCAGACTTCTGATGAACTCTAGGAAGCTTGACATCATGTTTAACAGATTTAAGTCATGGTAGTATCATCTCTACTAGTTATAAACAACAGATAAAAGCCAGATATTAGTAACTTGGTACATTCTTAAAAGAAAAAATCACCCACATCCTTCAGTGATTTTTAAAGAAATATAAACATACATAATTCTACAAACCAAAGGACTGAGAAAAAAAAATAATCAAAGAAACTGATTCTTGCAAGTGAATTTGTTCATGTCTTCACTGTCTTCATTATACCCACAAAAGCTCTTCCTCTAGAATGAGCTGAAGGCACACTGTATTTTCAGGGCCAGCTATAAATCTAAAAAATTACTAATCAATAATAAAAGGAAGCACAATCATTTTGTAGATCAACAAAGTACTTACCATTCTACGAATTGCTCCACAAATGGCGTATGTTTTGAACTGGCCGTTTACTCTTCCTGTTACCTTGTCAACCTGTAATCACAAGCAAATTTCTCCACACAGATTCTTGTAAAATTTTATGCTCCCACATCACACTTGCCAAGGACCCAAAGATGAAAATTTCCTTGTTAAATACTGCAAATATTTCTTATGAAAACTACAAAACCCCAAGGCAAATACTGAAGGTACAAAGATAACGATAGAGTAGCTCTTCACAGCACATTTATAGTTAATTACATAGTGCACCTTTAAAATCTGATAGATCACACAGCGTAACAAGAACAGAACACAAAATGGTGAGAATGGTAGAAAAGTTCAATGTGAAGTTTACTTGTGGATTTTACTGCCTTTGCTCTTTTTCTCATATTTTGTTTAATTAAGGTCAGTATTATAGAAAATTGAAAGGAAGGGAGGAAGGGGACAGTCTTGTTACACAGGTAGAAAAATGCCCAAGCTGAGACACAAATTGTCTCACTTCCTCCAGCTGCTGAGACATTTAATAGCAAAAGAGATTAAACAACATAAATCATGAAAGTAAACAGTGTAGTGAACGCTGTAATACCACATGGGTTTGTTCTCAAGAAATAGGGATCACTGAAGGAATGAAACTGAGTGAAGAAGTATTTGTCTTAACATTTACAGGAAATTGAAAACACAACATTTTTCAAAATTATTTTAGTCAGACAGCTGAAGAGATTCAAATTATTTAAAAATATAGGAATGTAGATTTGTGACCTCCCATTCAAGAAGAAATGAATTAAGCTATATAGCTCAGAAGTTTTTGGCATCTCCTTTTTTCTGGCCTATATTTGCCCTCCGGCCTCTACTTCCCTCTTGCCTCCCATCACATTTTGGCCTCCACTTTTTTCTGGTTTCCCACCCCTCTTTGGCCTTGCCCCCCATTAAGGTAAAGGGCAGAGAGTAAAGTAAACAGTGGAGAGTAAGAGGGGGAAAGTAAAGGCAGAGTCATTTTTACTATAAGTACTGGGGGGTCATAATCAAGGTGGGGTGTTGGGGGAGTATTTCAGGGGAGTGTTTCAGGAGTATTTTGGGGGGGCTGTTTTGGGGGGGCTATTTCAGGCAGAGAATTTCAGGGGGAGTCTCTCAGTGGAATATTTCAGGGGGGAGTAATTCAGGAGTATTATAGGAAGAATGTTTTGGGGGGAGTATTTTGGGGGCAGTGTTTCAGGAGGATTATTTCAGGGGGAAGTATTTCAGGTGAGTGTTTTGGGGGAGGAGTCATTTGGGGAGAGTATCTTTGGGGGAGTATTTCAG